GAGGTAAAAAAAAAGAAACGGTATCCTGGTTGCCGAGGTCACGAAGTGAATTGGCTTGTTTTACAACGTCGTTGCCAAGCGACGAAAACCCAATCCCGATGGCAAACACCGATGGGGGGCCTTGTTTTACAACGTCGTTGCCAAGCGACGACAACCCGACCCCGATGGCAAACACCGGGGGGGGCGGGCGGCTTGTTTTATTTACAACGTCATTGCCAAGCGATGAAAACACAACCCCGATGGTAAACACCGGGGGGAGGGTAAGCGACAAGTAGGGAGGATAAGGAAACATGGCGAAAATAGAACAGAGAGAGCATCATCGTCTTGCCCGCGTGGAGCCAACCCCATCCACACGGCGCACCACACACACTGGTGTTGCCAGGGGTAGTCTTGTTGCAGCGGTACGTCACTCAAGTACCTACCGAAGGTATCCTGCAAGACCCAAACACTTGCATAGTACTGGCAGGGTGGATGGCTATGCCAGTACCAACGCTATGGTGCCCCTTATTCTACAGTAAGGCACCAAGAGCACTTGACGAAAGCCAGAGAGAGCAGCGAAAGCTAAACCTTCGAATAAAAATGAACGCATATACGCACAACGGTCAAGGAAGCCTCTTCAGCATCTATGCATAGCTGCTGACTCACAGTATATCGGGGAGCAGCCGAAGTTGTCCTTCACGTTCGCGTCCGCCTTCCCCTTGAGCAGGAACCGGACCATCGGCTCGCTGTCAGGGGACGCGCAGGCTACGTGGAGGGGCCGGAGTCCGTTCTCGTCGGCAGCGTCGGGGTTCGCGCCCCTCGACAGTAGCTGCGCCACTATGGCCTGCTGCCCGCGGAAGCAGGCCGCGTGGAGCGGGGTCGTCCCCTGTTTGTCCGGGTTCGGGCGGTTGATGTTGACGCCGAGCTCCCGGCCGCGGACGTTGGTGAGGAGCTTGACTACCTGTGTTTGGGGGGGGGGGGGCGTTGGGAAGGCCGAGTTGGTTTGAATATATCATGTTGTCAGACAAACGCTACGTTAGACTACGAGTTAGTTGGATTAGCCTTCATCTAACAGTGTACATGTTGTGGTTGCTGCAGACAATGATAAAATTCAGTGATGGGCTGCAAGACGAAGGTCTCAGCGGTGTTGCGTCAAACGATCATGGCTCCTCCCGCGTTGATTCGTTCGTTCGGAACCAACACCAACGAGCTATTTTGACGCTGAGGGAGAGGGCAGGGCACACAAGTTGCGAGCCGCGTTCGCCCCCACCTTCAAGCAGATGTAATCAAATACCTACCTTGCCAAGCCCATGGTCGACGGCATCGTAGAGCATGTCCCCGCCGCCGTCCCGGAAGCGCTGGCCCGAGCTCGCCATCGCCGCCAGCATCATGTCCAGCAGCTCCGTCCTCCCCGAGATCACCGCGAGCGATACGCAGCTGCAACCGTCCGAGTTCTCCACCAACACGTCGGCCCCGCCGTCCAGCAGAGCTTTCGCGGCGTCCAGCCGTCCCGTGGCGCGGCAGCTCAGCGCGAGCGCGGTGTTGCTGTTGGCGTCGACGGCGGCCGGGTCGGCCCCCTCCCTCAGCAGCCACTCCGTCACGTCCGCGCGGCCGTTGGCGGCCGCCCGCAGGAGAGGGGTCATGCCCTCGCCGTCGCGACCCTCGAGGGAGGACCCTCGCCGGAGGAGCTCGACGCACGTCTCGAGCCTCCCGCGGGAGCATGCGATGTGGAAGGCGGTGGAGAGGTCGCCCGACGGGGAGGATATGTCGGCGCCCGCGTCAAGGAGGAGGCGGATGACTTCCGGGGAGGAGGAGCCCGCGGCTTCGTGGAGGGGAGTGACCTGGAGGGAAGAGAAGGGCCACGCAGACGATATTAAGCTTGTACCTTGGAGAGCAACCATGTACATGCATACTCGGAGTCGTGATATAAGTAATAGAAGACGCTATGTACGTCCCCGCCTCTACGGTGAAGGAGATCGTGACACAGGACGTGATGCCATATTCTGGTCGACAAGCGAACACAAGGGACAAATCCACATGGAAGAGCACCAACTTCTCCGTAAGATACGAAACCATCAACGACAACACTACATCAGCAACGACAACAAGGGCGCCACCGTTCAAGGCATTTGTTTTCGGCTCTGGACAACATCGCACAGCAGTGTCATCATCGACGATCCCATGCGAAAAATAACGAACGGCGCGTGCCCTACATTCGTTTTGTCGGTGAAGGTGTTGATGCTGCGGCCGATCTCGGGGTGTTTGAGGAGCTCCCTCAGGATATCCTGGCTCGAGCCCTTGCTCGCTACGTGTAGAGGGGTGAGAGCCGTACTCCCCGCACCGCCCGCCCCCCACCAGACCCTCTTGTTCTCGTTGCCCCAGTCCCGAAGGCACTCGCGGACACGCCGAATGTCCCTCGCACGGAGGGCGCGGTACAGGTCGGGCTCCATCGGCATGGTGGCCTCGAGTTGGACGTTGCTATCGGCCTGACGAGAGGGTGTCCACCACCCTGCTGCAATAAATAACTCGAGAGAGAAACCCCGGGCTCCGCCGTACTCGCTCGGTGCTGCGATGGGCCAAGGGTTGTGTCGGGCAAGGCATTGGTTGATCCATCAAAGGGCGTCGGGAAGCTTGGTTGCGCGGGCAGTGGCCATGCAGAGTGCTCGCTGTTTCTACACCAGCATAGAATAGACGAAGAAACAGACACACGAAGACAGAGTTCGAGATCCGCCTTGCTTGGTACATTAGACGCAACCCGTGACAACCTCACCGCCCAAACACCACGCCCTCTTTTTCTAAAAACCAACACAGCGTTAAGTCACGGAGCTATTACACCCGCGGCAGTGAGCGAGCAACGTCTAGCACCTGGCAGTTGGGATGCGTGTGCTGCAGCCTTCTGCCGGAACAATCACAAGCTGCTTTTGGATTAGTCTACTCAAACATTGAACATTCTCATCATGCGTCGCACCTTTGACCCAAAGCACCTTGCGTAGATTAGAAGGACAGCAGTGTCTCTGCCGCCACTGCTGCTTCCTCCTGCTGCTTCTGCTGCTGCTGCTGCTGCTGCTGCTCTTGGATGGAGATAGAGGTGCTGGTAATTGGAGAGATGCTAGGTGGCAAAGTGGATGTTGGTGCAAAAAATAAAAACGGGGAACTCGGTGGCCGCAACCGGAAGTGTAGGGTCCTTCCATATTTTTTGCAGCCAACCCTGATGGATTTTTTCCGACAGGGGACAAAAGTAACACTCCCGCCCGCGGCATCGCATCTACTTCCTGAAGTGTGGTCTACATGTTCACATAGGACAGGCGTAGGGTGGATGTGGTGATTCTCTCTCCACCCGCACCTGTACACCGCACCTGTACACCGCAGCTCTACACCAGAATTGGTCCTGGAAAATCTGTCTTCTCCTTCGTGCTGTACGCGGGAGATACAGTCACCGGCTGGCTGGGCGGGGGTGCCATTGGCCGATCACATCAGCAGCAGTACTTGCGGAGAGCGCGACTGCTGTTGTATCAATCATGTCAACGGACGACGACGGCGCGGCCCAACGAGCTGATAAGTACGAGCAATGGGTTAGATCTGTTCTCGGCCCAAAGCTCGAGGACTTTCGAGAAAGGTGACGCAGGAACAAGGGGAAGAAAAGCGAAATGTATGTACAGCAGACGGGGATCACACTAAATGTATTTACAGCAGTCGTGCCGGTTAAACAGCCGTGCGTGTGTTTTCGTCCTATTTATTATGACGACAGTTACACTCTTCCAGCGTATGTAGAGTACTACACTTTTCAGTGTATTTTTTCGTACAACTGTAACCATCCAGGGTCACACAGGAGGGGGTAAACACCAGGGCTTTTTTCTTCTTTTTATTTATTTTCATGCCCCACCTTCCCCCCCTCCCCCGGTGTTTGACATCGGGGTTGGGTTTTCGTCGCTTGGCAACGACGTTGTAAAACAAGCCGCCCCCCCCG